AGCAGGAGGAGGAGGAGGAGGAAGAGAAGGAAGAGGAGCAGGAGGAGGATAAACAGTTAAAACTGTAAATTTAAAATTGGATTCCAGTAGATTCTGTCTACTGGAAACAGAAACAACCATTTTAAAAGATGTATATTTCCTTACAACCAGTTATTTGGCCTTTTGTCTGATCCGGCTACATATCCACCAATATCTCTCAACCAGAGGTTCTCAACCCTGGCTGCACATTGACACTTCTGTGGGGAGCGGAAAACAGTGCTGCAATGGACATAAAAATGCAGGTGTCTTTTTGGTAGACACACACTGATGCACGTGGCCCCCATACACCTGACTCCTCCCTCCCAAAACTCTACTGTCATTGGTCTGCAGTAGCACCTGGGCATTGGGAGTGCTAAAGCTTCCCAGGTGGCTCTAAAGTATAGCCAAAGTTGAGACCCACTTCCTCCATCATTGCCTCTCAAACTTGAGTGCTATGAGAATCACCTGCAGGGCTTGTTACAACACAGGCACCTGCTCCCAGGTCTCAGGGTTTCTGATGCAGTCTGCCTGAGGTGGAGCCTGATAATTTGCATTTCTAATGCATTCCCAGATGATGCTGGGAGAACCACTGTGCCTACGTGAATTCTTACCCACCTGCCCCCCAGGTCTCCCTTAGAAAATTTTTGTTTACTGAATTCCCTTCAAACTAGTTTTTATGTTGACAATGTCTTAAATCCTTTTCCTGGAAACAGAGATTTCCTTCTTTCTATATTGCAGTTAAATATAAAATACTAATATGCACATAAATAAGAAGCACAGCCTGTTGTGGGCAATGTCTGCAGAAGGGCCACCCACTCTTGCTGCACCCACAGGTGTGTAGAGGACCTACCTGTAGAGCCAACCTCTTCAGGAGGTAATTTGGGACCTGCTCTGAAGAACAGGTTCATGGGAAGGAGGCCTCGCCTGCAAGTGCTCACCACGCTCCCTTCCACAATCCAGGAAAATGGGAGTTCTGGTCTTTAAGTGATGGCTTTCTGATTGGGTCAAGTGAGAACCTACGAGGGACCTGGAGACCATGCAGCCCAGCCCACCAGTTTATAGGTTCAGAGCCTGAGGAGATGCACCTTGCCTAGGTCATGCAATTTATCAACAGCTCAAGGACGCACACTCCGCCCCTCCAACTGTGAGATCGTTTTCCTCTAGCTCACACTACCTGCATCCTTGAACGATTGTTTTTTTTCCAAAAATAGGTATATTAAAGAAATGATATATGCCAAATCAGGATCACAGTTGCCTCTAGTGGGGAGGGAGTGACATAAGAGCAAGCAGACGGACGAAGGGGACTTTAACTATGTAGACATTATTTTATTTTGTATGTCATAAGTACCTCAAAAATATTTTTTAAATCTCAATATATAGCTCACTCTGAGCAACCCCAGAGTAGAATTTTTCAAAAGCCAAATAAGCTGAGAGTTGATTTTTTTTACTTTATGTAGTATTTACTGCCTCTATAATAGAATTTATCCCAAGTTTTCTTTCTGTGGCAAATTTGCCAACATAACATGTAAGGGGCCTATTGGCAGGTGAAATAAAGGCCCTCCAGAGTATAGCGAGATTCCATGTGTCAGCCTGGTTTGTCACATACACATTCTTCTGCTCTTTTTTTAGCCCAATTTTCTCAAGCGCATTGAATTCCGTGCTCAGCAAATGGGACCTCCCTGTCTTCACCCTCCCTTTCAACATGGCGCTGTCAATGTACCTTTCAGCCACAGGACATTACAATCCGTTCTTTCCAGGCAAATTGGTCACACCTGTAACTACAGCTCCAAATATCTCCTGGTCTGACCTCAGTGCCCTGGAGGTAAGACACTAGCTTCTCACATTCCCCCTGGCTCTGCAAGATACGCAATGGCCTCTGGTCAATTGTCCACAGGTGTCAGAGTCCCCTAGATGCTCAGGACTATGGTGGCCTTTCTGCCTTCATCTTGCCATTTAAAGCATTTGTTCCACTCCAGAACATTAAGGTCTAAGGGATTTTTAAAAATTACTATTTAGCCAAGCTAATTTTTCTGCCTTTTCCCCTAAACATCTACAGTGCTAACCCCAGAGTACAGTTCCCCTGGGAGTCACTCCATCGTAAGCTTGGGGGTGGGTGATGGGAGCCAGCCCTTAGGGCATGTGGCCTCCAGCCTGGTTTTAAATCTTCCACAGTCTACTCCCTCCAATCAAAAAACTGGATGCTTAGAGTTTAGGACAGAACCTCTCTATTCTGCTTTTCCTTATGGCATAGCTCATAGAACATCTACAATAATTTAGGGTTCCCAAGCTTTGGTAGGCATCAGAATCACCTGGGGAGTTTTCAATACCCAAACAGGCTTCATCTCAGACCCTCTAAATCATAATCTCTAAGTGTAGGGACTGGAACCTGTTTTAACAAACTCCCCAAATTGTGATGCGGGCCAGGGTTTGAGAACCTCTATATTAACGGATGAATCCTATGTATCTCTTTAAAGATGACCATAAAGAGATCTCGTACTTTTTAAAACCTGGCTAACCCAAATCAAATTCCAGCTCTTCCTGTTGGTGTGTAATAAATATGTTTAAGGTTTCTGGACTATCAAGAACAAGAGAATACCTGAAATTAGAAGAAAACCAAAAAAACAAAAAAACCAAAGCACATTACCTTTTTAATGTGCTCTCCCACTGTCAGGTTATGAAACGCCCTTTTCTGTCTTCTTTGTTGAGTGATCAAAACACATGAGGAGCTCCAGTCAGCTTCTCTTTAGCTTCTTGCCAGAAAATTAAATGAAGCACCTGGAAATAATTCAGAAGGAAAAATCAAAGATTCATTAGAACTACCCACGAAAAATAACAGTATAAAATAGCATTAATCTATCTAGAACTGCACGAACACAGGAGCCACTAGCCCCACGTGGCTATATAAATTTAGATGTAGTATTGTCAAAAATTGAGTTCCTCAACCTCTCTAGCTACATCTCAAGCGGTTGATAGCCACATGTGGCTAGGACCCACTGTGTTAAATATCACAGATACAGACTATTCCATCATCTCAGAAAGTTCTCCTGCACAGTGCTGATCTGGGGCAGGAGAAGCTTTGTCCTTCTCCTCACTCCGAATGACCAGTCCATCATCAGCACCAACCCCAACCCTATGGCTACCTGAGACAGAGTTCTGCAGTCAAATCCGGAAAAATAAAAAATAAAAAGGGTATGCTGTCTTTGCCAAGTTTCCTGGTCTAGAAATACCAAAATGTTTAGACATGAAGACCCAGCATGGGCTAGAAGAATTGAGTCCATGTTAGGGTAGAGTCAAACTCACACTATGGTCTGGTGCCCAACCAGAAGTTCAGCTGTAAAGAATGGTCATTTGTTAGGTTCAGTCAAACCTTGTTCGCTCCTGAGAACTGCAATTCTGTGAACAGAATAACTAAATTCAGGCCTCAGCCAGAAAGCAGAATTGTGACATTTCCATGTATTTTTGTGTTTTGAGACCTGCTTGACAGTTGCTCATAACTAGAATAAGCTAAAGATATCTTGGTTTAAATGAATACATGTTCCACTTAATGACAGAAAAGAAAATTCACAACCTTGCTAATAATTGCTTCTAAATTGTGGATAAGATAACCTGGTATTGGGTCTCTGGCTTTAGCATAAGCATCCAAATTGTATGGTGATGATAATCTCTCTATTGAACAAAGGGATGCATGGATAGATTAGATCACCCTCAGCACTGGTGGACATTTGAAAGCAAAAGAAGTGTCAGCTGTGGTTCCTGCCATCCCCACTGGGAGCATGGCAGAGCCTCACAGCCGGGAGCAGTGAGTGGCACCACACTGAGACCTTATCAGTGACCCAGGCCAAGTGTCATTGCAAGCAGGAGAACCCGTGAGCACAGGGGGAACTTTAAGAAGGCATGTTTGGCATTCACCAGGGAAGGGCTGGTGTGTCTCTGGGGATAAAGCTGAAGAATGACTGGGATTTTTCTGTAATCAAGGAGAGGGAATTTTAAAAGGTAGTAACACTGTTCTTGAAAGAGATACGGTATATCCAGTGTAAAATTATATTGTAGGAGTTTGTGGGTGTCCTGTGGGTTTCTGTTCAGTTGTTTCGGTGGCATTTTTTTAAAAAATTTCTTTTGCAGTTATTGAAATCTATACCAGTGGGAGTTGGTCAGATATATGGCTGTGATAATCCATGGACAGGGGGCATTTTCCTGGGAGCCATCCTACTCTCCTCCCCACTCATGTGCCTGCATGCTGCAATCGGATCATTGCTGGGCACAGCAGCAGGTGAGCACAAGAGCCCTTACCAAATATTGAGCACCTCTTCCATCCCGTGCATTGCCTCAGGCATCTTCTGTGCTCCAGATCTTTCTTGAGATCATGGCTTCCTAGGGACCAATGGGAATTCCTGGGATGCTTGCTGCTAACCTTCAATCCCACCCTCAGTCTCCTTCCAAACATCCTGCCTTTAGTCCTGAGCTCTGACCCCTCCTGTCTTGTCTAACAGGACTCAGTCTTTCAGCCCCATTTGAGGACATCTACTTTGGACTCTGGGGTTTCAACAGCTCTCTGGCCTGCATTGCAATGGGAGGAATGTTCGTGGCGCTCACCTGGCAAACCCACCTCCTGGCTCTTGGCTGCGGTGAGTCTCCCACACCCCTGGGGGAGGGCTGCCCATGACTACAGGATCTCAATCAAGGACAAGCAGTAAAAACGGACTGCGTGAAAAATCAGGGCCAGGGTTCTGGCTTGAGCCCACTTGCTACATGTGTGAACAGGACAAGTGACGTCCCCTGAGAGCATTAAAGTCACCTCTGCCTACCTCTCTGATGACTGTGAAGACAGGAGCCTATTGAGTCATATTAACATCCTAAAATATGGATGTTTGGGAGGATAGAAAAAAAATCCCAGTTATTCTTCAGCTTTATCCCCAGAGATCCACCAGCCCTTCCCTGATGCATGCCACACATGCCTTCTCAAAGCTCCCCCGTGCTCATGGGTTCTCCTGCTTATGCCGACACTTGGCCTTGGCCACCGAGAAGCTCCCAGCGTCGTGCCACTCGCTGCTTCTGGCTGTGAGGCTCTGCCATGCCTCCCACTGGGGATGGCAGGGACCACAGCTGACACTACTTTTGCTTTCAACTGACTTGTCCTGCATTCTTCAAACTAGTTGTTTGACCCAAGAAACTAAAGGGAAATAACTCCAGCTAAATACAAAGCAATGTCCCCTGGTGAATCAGGGTTGATGACATTTACCCCTTTGAGCGTCACAGTAACCCAGCCATTCTAAGACTTGAGAATGCATCAGAATCACCTGAAAGACTTGTTAAAACACAAATCGCTGCCCCCCCCCCAACCAGTCTGATTCGTTGTTAGAGGTGGGGGAAAGAATTTTTTTTTAATTTTTCTGAAAAAGTCTCATTCTGAGCCAAGATACTGCCACTGCACTTCAGCCTGGGCCACAGAGCAAAACTTCATCTCAAAAAAAAAAAAAAACGGGTCTCATTATGTTGCTCAGGCTGGAGTGCAGTGGTGTGAACACAACTCACTGCAGCCTCAGCCTCCCAAGTAAAGTCGCTAGGACCACAGGCATGCCACCACGCCTGGTTAATTTTTTGTTTTTTACAGAGACCGGGTCTCCCTATGTTGCCCAGGCTGATCTCGAATTCCTAGGCTCAAGCAATCCTCCCACCTCCACCTTTCAAAGTGATGGGATTACAGGAGTGAGCCACCACCCCGGCAGAATTTCCACTTCTAACAAGTTCTCAGGAGGCACTAATGCTGTTGCTCTCGAGACCACATTTCAAGAACTGCTGTATTAATCCTTTCTGACTCCCAGTGTTCTAGCCAGACTCAGCCTGTCAGAGGAAGAAGGCATCCTGAGACCTCCACTCCATCCTTCTTACTTTACTGTTGGGGTCCTGAGGCCAGAGAGACTAAGGAATGTGCTGCAGGAAATCTGGACAGTGATGGGTAAATCCACACCCAGAACCCACACTTACCATCCACTTCCAGAGTTATCCCACCGCACTCCTCTGCTTCCCTTTTGTAGCATTCAGGCCCTCATGGCAACCTCTTAGGTGAAAACAGATTGCATGTGATTTGAATCTGAAAAGCTAATAGATGTCCCAGGTGGATTGTGAGTGGCAGCTCATTCACCCATAGCCTCTGGCATCCCTAATGCAATCAAAGTGTAAGCATTTAAGATAATGTTCTAGAGTGGAGAGAATGAGACTCACTTGGGAACAAAAAGGAGGCAGGACAGTGTAATGTGGAGAAATTATTTCTAATCTAGTGGAAATATATGTCTAGAGTCAGTTTATCACCAGATTAATCAAGCCAAGATATTTAAACAGTTATGAAAACGGTGGGCCACGTATAAGGCAGGGTTTAGAATAGATTTCTGCACTAGAAAATGGGATGGTACCAAGGGTTTCTAAAGACCCATTCCATTTTGATGTGATGCTGTAGCAAGAGTATATACATAACTCAGGTTGCTGGGTGTAGCCATGCAGATGTCATTTTTGTCAAGTTATTTACTATTACTCAGCTATTTAACCTAACAGTTCTGTTGAAATGTTGTGCTCTTTCTCCAAATTTGTTCACGAGCTTAGGATAAAGGAGAGGGTTACAGACAGGTGCTGTAGCCACCTGAGTTCAGCTGTGTTAGAATGTTTATCTTACAACCTTTCAGCTTTATTCTGAGATTGGTTAGGAGTTTCCACCTGAGTTCAGCTAGGTTCAAATGTTTATCCTACAACCTTTCAGCTTTATTCTGAGATTGGTTAGGGGTTTCCACCTGAGTTCAGCTGGGTTCGAATGTTTACCCTACAACCTTTCAGCTTTACTCTGAGATTGGTTAGGGGTTTCAAACCTTTATTTGGGATGCATACCTTTACTTTTCTGGAGGCAGTAGCCATAAATATGTATTAAACACACATGATACAGTTAAGACAGTACCAGGAAGAGCAAGGAGTTTAGGAGCTTTAGGATCCATGCAGTTCCTGCACACAGAGTGTTACAGTAGAGGGCAGAAGCCAGGCAAGAGAGGGAGCCCAAGAGGACCGTGCAATCTTTGTGGAAGAAGGAGAAGTCCACAGTACAGCATTCTCCAGGGGCCCATTTCCATTCAGAAATATCACAAAGCACCTCCTGGAGAAGGGGGCTTTTCCATAAATGCTAGAAAATAAGAGGAGGAATTCTGTTTGGTGGAAAGGGTGGTGCAGGCCAGCATGGGGACAGCCTGAGTATGTCCTTCAAGATCAAGGAGAAGGCATTTTGAGAGCACAGGAGATGGCAATGAGGTTTTTGTTTTTCCGGTTTTTTTTTTTTTTTTTTGGTCTTGTTTTGTTTTTTGTGTTTTTTTTTTTAGACAGAGTCTCGCTCTGTCACCAGGCTGGAATGCAGTGGCACAATCTTGGCCCACTGCAACCTCCAACACCCTAGTTCAAGCGATTCTCCTGTCTCAGCCTCCCAAGTAGCTGGGCTTACAGGCACGCACCACTATGCCCAGCTAATTTTTGTATTTTTGGTAGAGATGGGGTTTCACCATGTTGGCCAGGATGGTCTCGATCTTCTGACCTCATGATTTGTCCACCTCAGCCTCCCAAAGTGCTGGGATTACAGGCATGAGCCACCGCACCTGGCGGGTGCTGAGTTTTTTTTTGTTTTATGTTGTTGTTGTTTGAGATGGATTCTTGATCTGTAGCCCAGGCTAGCATGCAATGGCATGATCTCAGCTCACTGCAACCTCTGCCTCCCGGGTCCTGGTTCAAGCAATTCTCCTGCCTCAGCTTCCCAAGTAGCTGGGATTACAGGCACGCACCACCATGCCTAGTTAAATTTTTTTGTATTTTTAGTAGAGATGGGGTTTCACCAGGCTGGTCTTGAACTCCTGACCTCATGATCTGCCTGCCTTGGCCTCCCAAAGTGCTGGGATTACAGGGGTGAGCCACCGCGCCCAGCTGGTGATGAGGTTTTGACAGACCATGGAGAAGGATGAAGCCAAAGCTCTCGACATGTGTTTCCCCAAAGTGGGAATATCTTTGATATTTTCTCAATTGTAGAAGCAGCACAGGTTTATTGTATAAAACAAAACAAAAATGTAATCTGTATAGAAATGTCTGAACCAGGAAGTGGAAATATTCCATTTTACTCCCCAGAGAGGGCTTTTTTGCCCACTTCTTATAAGGACCCTTGTGATTACACTGGGTCCATTCAGAAGTCTAGGCAACTCTCTCCATCTCAAGGTCTTTAACTTAATCACAGCTGCTACTAATTCCCTTTTGCCATGTGAGGTCACATATTCTCAAGTTCTGAGGTTTAAGATATGGACATCTTTGGAGACCATTATTCTTCCTACCACACTCACCTTCCTTTGGATAGATACTCTTTTTTTTCCACTGGTGTAGCATAATGGTTGAGGCAGTCTACTGAGCTGGTTATGGAGCTCAGACTCTGGTGCCAGACAGCCTGGATTCAGTTCCAGCAGCTCTGCTACTTACTAGCATATTTGCTTATGAATGTAAGCAAATTATAAGTAATTTGCTTTTCTATGCCTCAGTTTCCCCATCTTAGAAAATGGAAGTTACCATATTCAATTCATACAATTGTTCTGATGATTAAATTAGTTAATGCATGTCCGAAACTCATAGAACAAATAGTGTCTAGCACTCGGTAAGTGCTGTTTAAAAGTCTGGAAAAAAGTTTTTCTGGTGGCTTTGCATAACTTATTAAGAATCAAACTTGTTTATTTTCTCCTGTCAATTTCTTAAGTTTATTAACACCTGTATCTTCTCCCCAAATATGACTGATACATGAATCTGCCTTTACTTCCTCTGAGAAGGCCCACCCCTAACAACTAGTAAAACCATTGATACTGTATAGAATTTTTATTTTGGATTCGTTGTTAAGTATAAGTTTTTGTTTTGGGTACTTGCTTATTTAGGCAACTGTAAACTTTATTAACTGCTTATTCACTCTGACTTAGTTCATATTAACCTTCTGTACTTTTTTTTTTTTAAGAAAAAAGCCCCACTCTATTCCCAGACTGGAGTGCAGTGGCACAATCTCAGCTCACTGCAGCCTCCACCTCCTGGGTTCAAGCAATTCCTATGCCTCAGACTCCCAAGTAGTTGGGATTACAGACATGCGCCACCATGCCCAGCTGATTTTTTGTACTTTTTGTAGTGACAGGTTTTTGCAATATTGGCCAGGCTGGTTTCGAACTCCTGACCTCAAGTGAACCACCTACCTTGGCCTCCCAAAGTGCTGGGATTACTGCTGGATTACTTCTTCAGAGATGGTTTGCAAAGAGAGTTTTGTTTTCTTTAAAGAGGGTCTGCAAAGAGACCTTGTATGCTGGAGAACATCTTCATTTCACCTTCATTTAAATTTTAGTTTAGCTGGCTGCAAACTCAAGATTTAACATTTTTTTCTCAATATTTTGAAAATTGTCTTCAAAGACTACTCCATTGTCTTCTTATACCCAAAATTGCTATTAAGGTGTCTGAAAAGAAACTAATTCTTGTTAAAGTTGATTTTATTTTTCCTCTCTGGACTCTGAATTTTCTCTTTGCGTATGAGATATATATATGGTTTTATTTCACTATTATCTGTCTAGATGTAGCTTTTTTTTTTTCTTTTTTTTTTTCCTACTAGGTACTCAAATCCTCTCAATGTGAGCCCTCATCTCTTCCTTTAATTCTAGGAACATCATCATTTTTCACTTTGTCAAATCTTTTCCGTTTTTCCCCTCTCCTTCTGTGATTTCTAGTATTTCAGCGTAACACTTTATGCTATTTTTTCATAACTCTTGACTTTTTCTTAATATTTTCCATCTCTTTATCTTTTCATGAGGCCCTTCAGTTCAGTTGATTGGCCTGATCATTCTTTGGCTCTGTCCATTGTGCTGATCACATCATTCATTGAGTTCTTCATTTCTGGTTTATTAATTAAATTTTATTGGCTGGGAGCGGTGGCTCACACCTGTAATCCCAGTACTTTGGGAGGCCAAGGGGGGCAGATCACAAGGTCAAGAGATTGAGACCATCCTGGTTAACATGGTGAAACCCCATCTCTACTAAAAATACAAAAATTAGCTGGGTGTGGTGGCACACACCTGTAGTCTCAGCTACTCAGGAGGCTGAGGCAGGAGAATCTCTTGAAACTGGGAGGTGGAGGTTTCAGTAAGCCGAGATCGTGCCACTGTACTCCAGCCTGGGTGACAGAGCGAGACTCTGTCTCAAAAAAAAAAAATATATATATATATATATATATCTCAACTGTAAGTTGTTCAGTTTGTCGTCCTTCTTGTATGGTATTGCTCTCCTGGGATGTCCCCTTTCCTTGTCCTGGGAGCTCATGTTTCCCTCAGGATATCAGCTGTTTGGGTGAGTCTCTGGGCAGAGATGGAAGCCCAGGCTGGAGCTGCATTTTTCCTGGTGTGTTTAATGAAAAAGGGGGCCCATGCTGCAGGGTATAGAACCTCCATTGCTCAAGGCCATGGAGATGGTGACTGTGTAGACACTTTATATGATAAGTGCCCTCTTGCTGGGGAAAGTTCAGATTGCTTCTAGTTTGAAACCATTACAAACAGTTCTGCAATGAATATTTTTGGCACAAATGTCCTTGTGTACTTTGTACAAGCATTTCTGTAAGAAGATTCACTTTCTTTTCAAGAAGCTAAATTGATGGGTTAAAGGGAATGCCAATTTTTATTTCAATGGATGCCAACTTTATCTCCAAAAAAGCCATACCAGTTTCCACTGCTGCCAGCAGTGTGTGAGAGTGCCCACTGGGCTCCCACAGGGTACAATCAGACTTTTAAATCTCTGTGCATGGATTTTTGAGACAGATCTCCAGCCCCCCTTGGAAAGCAAATCTCACATGTAAAATGCTACACCAAGTTTCAGCTTGTCCACATCACCCTGATACTGCCAAACAAAAGACCAACCCTGTCAGCCAAGGTAAATAAGTGACAGACATGTATTATAGAGCTGTTATTTATTAGTCCCCGATGGCTTTTATAAGGAAGTGGACTCAGGAAACTCTGACAGAACCTGGCACTGCTGTCTTTCTGGCCTCTAAGCCAGAGCAACTGCATGGCCAGAGAATATCTCAATGTTGTTGTTTTATCAGTGGAGACTGTAAACACATTGTGTATCTCTTCCAAATGGTTGGGTTACCACAGTGGGACTCACCCATTGGAAGGGACACTATTCAGGAGGAGCTAAAATCCAGTTTCCCCTTCAGTACTCAAGGGCCTTTTCTTCCCTCAGCTACCAAGAACGTTGTCAGGGTCATTGCCTACAAACTGATGATGTTGTGCAGAATTGCCCCTCTACTGTAAGGCTTTCCCAGTCCTACTTGGCGAGTCTTAATTGACATACCTACCATTAAATAATCTATCACTTTTACTATGGAGAGAAAAGCAACTTTGAATTGGAGATCACTTCAAAGCAACATAACAGTATGAGACGTAAACGTGCCAAAAGTGAGCCTTAGAAGTGTAATGGATATTTTAAAAAGAGAGAAGGCCATAAGGCCTCATGTGCTCAGGAGTGGTGTTGTAGCAAAGGGGGCACTCGAGAGATCAGGGACAGAGGACCCCAGTGCTTAGCAGAGGGCCAGTGAATAGTTGTTGAATTAATTGATTAAACTTTAACAATGAATGAAATTGGTGTAACCGAGGAGAGAAACCCTTCTAAGCCAAGCCGTGAGCACCCTTCTGCTCAGAGCAGTCCCATGGTGAAAGAGATACATTTACAGCTGTGTTTATGGAAATAGAAGCTCTCATTTGAGATTCATCGCCTCCCAGTAAGGCAGATCTTCAAGATGCCTTTTTACAGATGATGAAACTAGATTCCAAGACATTCAGTGATTTGTTATACAACAAATAAGATGGCAGAGCTGGGATTTGAAACCAGTACTGTTTTCAAAGACCAGCCCTTCCCACTAGTGTGAGACAATTCATACATGAAAGAATTTGATATGCTATTGAATAAGAAACACCAGGATAAAAAGACAAAATATTGGTAAAAGGACAGAAGTCTATGGTAAAGTAAATAAGGATCACAGAGCTCCCCCACCGCTGGCGACCATGTCCTGCCACATCCCCACACACCAAGATAGCTGATGTGATTTCTCACCAGACATGGAGACAAGATGGTGAGTGTGTCTAACGGTGAGCTCTGGTGGCCCAAGTGGCTAGGTGGCCATTATATGAAGGTCATTCTTCAGGCTATCCCCATGAAACCTGAGGGCTTCCCTGAGCCTCCGTGAGCCTTCTCTTCAACCAAAACTGAGGAATAGATAATTATCTGGTTGAGATCTTTGCATTAGTTGTTTTACATTGAAAGTCACCCATATACTCAAATTACTGACTCTACAATTTTTTTGGCCACTCAAAGTAAATAAAACATAAGACATTTATTCATTGATTTTAATGGTATTGGAGAAGATGTTATCAAGGGGAGGAATCCCAAGTTTGTGTTCAGTTCCTGCTTCCTTCTTTCTTTCCTTCTTATTTTATAAACATGGTTTTGTTTTGGTTTTTAGTACACATGCTGCCAAAGCAAGCACTATGATTTTTTGTAGCTTTGAATCCTATTCATTAATATGAGAATCCTAGATGCTATCTCAAGAAACATTAATAGGTTTCATTTAATTCAGCTATGCTTGGATAATTTCATTTAATCCAGCTATGCTTGGATAAAACATCAGAGAAATTTATTTTCCATAGAAGGCCTTTCCCTTAAGTATTAGCAATAACAACAAAATAGTAACCATGAAACAACTACCTTCATTGAACACTTACTGTGTGCTAAACACATGCATTATTTCCTTTCATCCTCACACCAACACCATGAAAGAGATATTCCTTTTACTTCCATTGTACAGGTGAGGAAATGGAGGCTTAAAACAGAGCCCATGGAGCTCCTAAGTGGTAGAGTCAGGATTTGAATCCAGGACTGCTGACTTTAGACTCATGCTAGTAATCAGCGCACTGTGCATTCCAGGTGATTTATATTGGAAGGCAGCCTTTCCTGTGATTAAAAGTGCATCTACCAAGCATTGTTCTTTCTCTCTCTCTCTTTTTTTTTTTTCTGTAGCCCTGTTCACAGCCTATCTTGGAGTCGGCATGGCAAACGTTATGGCTAGGGTGAGTGTGTTTTAGTCTCACTTTTCATTCGCGTAATTGACCAGCTTACGACTATATGGGAAGTGCTCCTGAAGTCCACTGGGCTGGCATCCAGTGGCAGGATCCACGACCGTGAGAAGCACTGCCCTACCTTCTGCTGGAACTCCCTGGCCTTTCTTTCAGCATCACAGCAAACTTTAGTCCAAACCACAATCACCCAGTATGTTACAAATATCAGATTGCTTGGTTTAAAAAAATGAAACTTAGGTTGTATAACATATTGTCAAGTTCAGAGTCTAACTCTGAGTGATAAGAAGTTGACTTTAGGATACCTTTTACTTAAACAGAAAGCCAGATATTCCATTGCAGGGCCAGTTTCTGATAGCTCAGTCCATGTTGATGTCGTCATGGCTGCTAAGGAGTCAAGGCAATATCTAGCCCTCTTGGCAACAGCATAGAGATTTTATCTGGGAGGGTCCTTAAGGAGACACAGTATCTTTCTGGTAGAAAGCCAAAGTCCCATTACAGGCATGCATGATGGAGAGTACATCAGAGCACACGGGACCCTCTACATGTCAACAAAGAAGGTTCACAGGCATCAGTCCACGGACCCAAATGGGCAAGCTGCATACCAGAGTCAGCTAGGAAGACGGGAAAATATGGAGCCTTAGGCCTTGTGTCCTTTGGTATTTCTGATAGAGTAGATCTTGTACGATGCTTGAACATCCATGTTTTTTTTTTAACTCCCCCAGATGATTCTGATGTGCAGTCAAGTTAGGGTACCCCTATACTCCATCACACCCCAGGGAGGTCCATGCATCAGGCCAGAGCTAACCAATGGCATACGCTCAGAATTGTGTGAGTTTCCATGGGCAGCACAAAGAGGACCTACCCTCAAGGAACTTAGAGTCTATTTGGGAGACAGAATGGAAAGAAATAAAGCAAGTCAAGTCTAAGATCTAGACCAGGCATAAGTCAAGGTCAGAGAGGTCACTGTGGGTTGGACTAATCAGAGAAGGCCTTGTGGACGTGAAGAGTGGTCAGGGGCCATTTGCAGTTTGCAAGTGTCATCTCTGTTTGTCAAATGTCCTCTTGGCACATCTGGTGCAGGAAGTCTGAATATATGAGAGGGAGAGAAAGACATACATACAAGATAGAGACATAAGTGGCTGCCCTAAAGAATAGATGTCAACATTCCAACAGCTCAATGCCCTGAGATTATAAACTCAGTCTCCACGAGCATGCACAGAATCCAGAGCAATGCCCCCAGTGGTTCATCCCCTTGGGCTGAGTGCAAGTAGAGGGGGATGCTTTGTGTAGCTCAGCTGTCAGATGGGATCTGAAAGGAGCGTGTGACTTTCTCTTCTTCCCCAGATTGGATTGCCAGCTGGTACCTGGCCCTTTTGTTTGGCCACGCTATTGTTCCTCATGATGACCACAAAAAATTCCAGCATCTACAAGATGCCCCTCAGTAAAGTTACTTATCCTGAAGAAAACCGCATCTTCTACCTGCAAGCCAGGAAAAGAATGGTGGAAAGTCCTTTGTGAGAACAAGCCCCCTCTGTAGCCATGGTCACGAGTCCTTTCTGCCTGACTGCTCCAGCTAACTTCCAGGGTCTCAGCAAACTGCTGTTTTTCATGAGTATCAACTTTCACACGAACGCATCTATGATCTGTTCTTATGCTCATTTTGTATTTTCCTTTCGACTCCAGGAATATCCTCAAGCATATGAGAGCCACATCCAAGTGATGTGCTCTGGTATGGAATTTGAAACCCGAATGGGGCCTTGGCACTAAGACTGGAATGTATATAAAGTCAAAGTGCTCCAACAGAAGGAGGAAGTGAATACAAACTATTAGTATTTATTGATATTGTTGGTGTTTAGCTGGCTCCATGACGTTAGCAGTATTAAAAATTAAACCCCATAAACCAACTAAGCCTTATGGAACTCACAGTCACAAAATCGAAGTTAATCCAGAATTCTGTGATAAGCAGTTTGGCTTTTTTTAAATCAATGCAAGTTACACACTATAGCCAGAGTCAATATCACAGAGGGGCAAGCTGACAGCTGAGCTCGGTCCCCACTTCCTACAAACAATGGCTTGCACCCTATGCCTTGTGTGTGTGACATTCTCTCATGGGACATAGTTGGGGTTTTCCAGACTGACAGGACTACAAGAGGAAGAAAGGAATTTTGTCAATCAAAATTATTCTGTATTGCAACTTTTCTCAGAGATTGCAAAGGAGTTTTTAGGTAGAGATTACTTTTCCTTATGAAAAATGATCTGTTTTAAATGGGATAAAATAGGAGAAGTTCCTGGCCTAACCTGTTCTTACATATTAAAGAAAAGTTACATACTGGATTTATGAAATACTCAGCTTAGGCATTTTTACTTTAATGCCTAAATTGATTTGGTAAATGACACAAATGCATAGAATTGTTACCAACCTCCAAAGGGCTCTTTAAAATCATTTGAGGATGTCTTATAAAGACTGAAGGCAAAGATCAGATTGCTTATGGGTGTTATTTTTATAACTTGTTGAATTTCTTAATTTAAAAAAGCTTATTATTTTCTGCACACTCACACTCTCTCAGACACCAGTGGCATTTGAACCACCAAAAAGAAATGAAAGGCTGAGTGTGGTGGCTCACGCCTGTAATCCCAGCACTTTGGGGAGCCCAGGTGGGCAGATTGCTTGAACCCAGGAGTTCAAGACCAGCCTGGGCAGCATGACGAAACCCCACATCTACAAAAAATACAAGAATTAGCCAGGCATGGTAGTGGGCACCTGTAGTTTCAGCTACTTGGGAGGCTGAGGTGGGAAAATGGCTTGAGCCCAGGAGGCCGAGGCTGCAGTGAGCTGAGATCGCACCACTGCACTCCACCCTGGGCGACAGAGTGAGACCGTGTCTCTCAAAAAAAAAAAAAAAAAAAAATACAGGTAAGGATTCCCGTTTTCCTCTCTTTAATTTAAAAGTTACCAGTTCTGTAAAGGCTCTGTCACCAAACATGCTGAAGACAGCAACAGAAGTCACATTCAGGGACTGGGCACAGTGGCTCACACCTGTAATCCCAGCACTTTGGGAGATGGAGGCAAAAGGATTTCTTGAGCCCAGGAGTTCAAGACCAGCTTGGGCAACATATCAAGACTCCATCTCTTAAAAAATAAAAATAATAACATTAGCCAGGTGTGGCAGCACACATCTACACCAGTTACTCAGGAGGCTGAGGTGGAAAAATCGCTTGTACACAGAAGTTCGAGGCTGCGGTGAGCTACGATCATGTCACTGCACTCCAGCCTGTGTGACAGAGCAAGACCCTATCTCTAAAATAAATAATAATTAATTAATTAATTAATTTAAAAAAGAAGTCCTGTTCATTTACCTTCCACTTCAGTATGTATGGTGCAATAGTTTGGAGGTTGGAAAGTGAAACGTCGGAACCCTGAAGATTTTTTCCACTTCCAGTTTGCAGTGCTCAGTGCACAATACACAGCTTGCCGAATGAATAAACAGAAATAGGGAAGTAAACCTACAAATATTTTAGGGAGAAGCTCACTTCTTCCTTTTCTCAGGAAACCAAGCAAGCAAACATTGTTCCAATTTTAAAATCCTGTGACCAAAGCCTTTGAAACTATGAATTTGCAACTGGCATGGGTTTATGGATATTGCTGTGGAGAAGCTCAATTTTCAGTGTTTGAACTGAACCCTTTCTTGTTAGGGAATGTGTGAAAGAAGAATTGTGGGGGGAAAAAAAAAAAAAAAAGAAAACAAGCATAACCAAAGATCATCAGCAGTGAAGAATCTAGGCTGTGGCTGAGTGAACCAGAGGCCTCTAAAATGCACCCAAGTCGATCTTCAGAACGGAGATCTACCGTGTAGGATCTTCTTGTGCTCACACAAATCTGTAAATAGGAACATTGTACGTTGTCGAATTTAAATGATATTAATTTTCTCAAGCTATTTTTGTTACTATTATCCTAAAAATAAGTATTTGCAGAGAGCACTTATACTTTTTCCTAATGTCTATATAACAAATTTCTATGCAAGTACATGAATAAATTATGCTCACAGCTCAGTTTTGTATAATGTGCCATTGATAGCCATCATGCATATGAACAATCACAAGCATAAGTCAGTATTGCTTATGTTGCATGTGCTAGGATCCTTATTCCTTCCTTACACTTGGTAATAGCACCAGATGCATAGTTGAGTAAACCCTTTTCAGTTTCAGATTGACAGGCCCATCCCCTTGGGTATCCTCTCAACTATCCATTGTTCTTTCAACTCGGGGATGAGAATGAATAACTGAGGACAGTTGTTAAGAACATGCTCCTAACACTTTGAGATCGATATCCCGAGAGCCACTTCCATGCATTCCCAGACAGGTCCTGGGCACCCCCATCAGGGCTGACCCTGGGCCACGGCATGCCTCAGGGGTCAGCTCTCTAGAACAAGCCACTTGTCAGAATTTTATCCCCTGAGGCCAAAGTCACAGCCATGCTTGTTGTCTCCGCCACAGAAGCACTTCTCTTCTACCTCCTTTCACCATGGTTGGCAGATTTGAAAGAAAATACGGTAAGAAGGGAAATTTACTTCAACAAGTTTGAATGATAAGTTTCAAAGCAGCCCTAAAAGGAAACTAAAAAAGGCACAATGGGGTCTCCCTATTGAAGTGCCCTCTGTCATAACATTCTCCCACCTATGGTTTCAAGGTAAATTCAAATAAATTTTCCAGAGTGATCTGGGCATTCTATGTCTTCTTTTATCTGGGGGAGAAACGACAGGCTGTGAGGTTCTTATGCTAAAGACACTCTATCCTTTAGGAGCTACAGGGGCCAACTTGCCTGTTATCCATGATACATGATTAGCATGGATATTATGTCAAGATCAAAGCCAAGTTTTACAAGAAACCAGGAATTTCTAAGGAAGCTTCTTATAAACAACTTTGCAAGAATATTTTTGTGGTTAGTAAACATAACATTTCATGCACAAGACTGTTTTCAGCCTTTCTCCTTATCTAACTAGTTCCTTCCAAAAGGCTTCACTCTTTAGTTTCATCTTCTTGAATCTGCATTGACAAGCCCCAGACTATTAGGAGGGCTGATAGCTTCCAGGCTGTAGAGTTCCACTTGCTAAAACAGTCAACAATGCAGATCCTGAAGGAATTTAAGGCTTAATAAATGAACATGGTAAATAATAGACTTTTAGAGAATGATATATAAATATAGTCTGCTTTCACAGCTCTTCATTAAACTATAAAGTAGATGCTGTAGATCAGACCAGACATGTGCAAAGTCACCTAAAAGAGAAAATTGCTCCCAGGGCTGACCTAACCTTATTTAATATTAACCTGGTAGGTATGAACTTATCTAAAGCAAGCTTAGGTCCACCTAATGTGGTAGAAAGTCAACCACTGAGGCTCAGGAGAAGAAGAAAACCTAGGAAGGGGGTCTTCAGTATTGGAACTTGGGATGGGACAGTCACAGGTGTCAAGGGTGAGCTCTGTGGTGGAAATGGCACTGGGGTATTATGGTTTAGTAAACTGAACTATATAGACCAAGCAATTAACGCTCCTTGTCCAATCCTGTACTCACAAGCTATTTAGCTTCCTATGTGGACTTGTCTTATAGGGTAAAAACACAAGTGTCCACACTGATGAGCTTCTCTGATCCTTGATAGTTACATTTCTCATTTTAGTTGATAATTCTAATTTTTATACATAAATCTTCTAAAATTTTATTTACCAAACTTTATATGTCACCAATCACACACCCTCCCCATGGTGCTCCAAAAACGTTAAGTTTCTGAGGCCCCAAAGGTCAATAGGGTGAGGGGTGGGTAGTTAGGGAAGGCCTTCCTGAGGAAGGGAGGTTTAGGCAGAAATCTAAGGAATAGGCAGGAGGTGGAGGAATGTGGAACGTGAAGGGAGCGGTACCCTTGGCAAAGGCAACCTTGTGGATAAAGGCCTTAAGACAAGGAGATTGGTGCTTTCAAGGAGTGAAAAGATTGCTGTGGCTGGATTATGGTGAATGAAAGTGCACTGGAGTGAACTCAGCAAACCAACTGGGAGGCCATTGCAGTAGTGCAGGAGAGAAGTAATGGTGGCTTGGACTCCAGTGGTGACGGAGAGACGTTCATGGATATGAGAGACAGGAGGCAGAATCACCAGAACTCTATGATGAGTTGATTTGCAGGGTGAGGGAGGGGGAGGTATCAAGGACGGCTTCCTGATTTCTAGACTGGGCCACAAGGTGAATGGTGGTGCCACACCATCGATGGAGCACTGAGGGGTCACGTCTCCTCTCATACTGCACACTCTTCCTCGCCAATCCCATCCTTCTCATGCTTCAATCCAGACCTTATCTTCAACTCCCTATAGGGACTGTTCCAAAAGAACTTCCTCAAACTCAACATATCCAGGACAAAACTCATCTTCTTCAACTATTCTTCTCTCCCTCCCATGTTGACTCATGGAGAAAGGTAGCACCCTCCACCCAACTGGGAAAGCCAGAAACAGGATGCCATCCTTGACCTCATTCTCTCACCTCCAGGAAATAGATAGCCAAGTGCTGAGGGTTCCACCTCCTTGATAGCCCCCATTCATTCATTTATTGAATGGCTGTTTACTACATAACAGGAACTGTGACTACAATAGTGAATCAGACAGCCATGGTCTCTTCCCTCACAAAAACTTTATGAGGTGAAATGACGAGTAAAGGAGTAATATAATATAGTGCAGTGATGATGATGAGTAAGAGACAGCCAGGTGACAAGGTTGAGGGAAGGGTATGCCAGTGACCTCTTTCTTCTAAAAAACAAAGACAAGAATATATCATTAATTATCAGGCATCCATACTAGTTAGGATGCCTTTGCCTGCAAGTAACAAAATACCTGACAAAAAGTGGTTAAAACAGCAGGAATTTCATTCCTAAAAGTAGGAAGTTCCAGATTTGGTGCTCGATGATGTCACAAAGAGTGCAATGTCTTTCCATCTTCCTCATCATTCTCAGCATCCTCAGAAGGCTCCACTTTCATCCTAGAGCTTGTAGCCTCATAGTTACAACATGGCTGCCCAGGTTACAAACATCACAACCACATCAAGAAGAAGAGGGGCAAATAGATTTGCAAGAGGGCCATCCTCTCATGTTTCTCTTCTTTATCATGGATGGAAATCTTTCTTAGAAGCTCCTCCAAAATAATTACACTTGTATCTTTTTGGGAGAACTGGGTTGTATGGCCGTTCATGGCTGCCTAAAAGTCTGAGAAAGTATGCATCTGGTATGCAGCTTCTCTTGTAACAGGTGAACTCTGCCATATTGGAGCAAAAGCAAGAGGAATGGCAATTGGACAGGCAGCCAACATGGTTGCTATGGTGGTATATAGTACCACCATATAGCGTGTAGTTCCTATGTGCCCCCACGAGAGAAACACAGTGACGGGTTAAACTGTCTATTGTGGGATTCACAAAGGGGTTTGGAACAGAAATCTAGACCAACACCTTTTG